ATTATTATAGTGTATAGAAACAAATAAACGAAATTTAAGTTTATGAAATTATAACTATGATAATAACAACAACAACAACAACGAAAAAAAAACTCCCATCAATACTAGCGGTCTCAAGTGGTATGTGCCAGAAGGACCAAGGTAAAATATAGCTAAATTTAGGCTTAAATTGACTAAAACCGGTAGTTAAACAAAAGGTAAAAACCTAAAGAACCATACTTGTAAAGTAATGCCAATCACCCCCCCCCCTCAGTCCATTGTTTTACATATCTTATGACCAGTCACGTGATCTAAAATAAAGAGGTTATGTATTGGCTATCTTTAGAAAGCGTAACTTTTCTAAACGAAAATATAGAATGAATTGTAGAAGAAGAAGATTGGATATGTTGATCATCTGGAAATCCATCGGATGAATGGAAGTTTATCAGCGAGTGTCGCCACCATATTGTGTAACTCCTTCTAAACCAATGACACAGAAGTTTGGACAATTATCCATAGCACAAACAGATGACAACTTTCTGTCGATTCTGGCTAGCCGCATTCGTAGTTTACCCCCTTTCCCGCAACTGAATTCCATGTTTTCAGCCGTACAGAGTTAAAGTCTTGATGAGGTATATTTTGCTCACGTCCCAGCGTAGAACAGTTTAACTGAGATTGTGACAAGAACACAACCAGTGGACCAACGTCACGCCCCAGCGTACAACAGTTCAACTGAGATGGTGACAAGAACACAACCAGTGGACCAACGTCACGCCCCAGCGTACAACAGTTCAAGTGAGATGGTTATTATAACACAACCAGTGGACCAACGCAATGTACAACAATATTCTTCTTTGAGAACAAAAAAAAAGTTGTTGCAACTAACAGTTAACAGGTACTGGAAACAAATATAAACACATTTTTATACAGAAATATGAAGCACATGACTGTGGTGGAAATACGGTGTGGAATGTAACCATTAATGCTACAAATTATAGAAGCTACATCCTACATTCCCTTTGCGTTATCATACGTTTGTGGATTGGGTCATGACTTTGGCCTAATGGATGATTCCTCTTGCCCCCCACCCCTTCCTCATTGCTGCGCCAGGTCGACACGTTCCTTGAAGAAGAGTGGATTGATTGAATAGGGTGTCTTACACACTAATTGGACTTCAATACCATCGAATTGTTTGGGATCACGTGGGAGAGTTTCACATCCCCGTCAAACGACATCAGACTAAAAAAAAAAAAAAATGACGTGGAAATAGTACTTTCAAATCACATAATAGACGATTGGGGATTGAAGGCAACCATCAGATCCCTGATTAAATGTTGCCTAAAGTGCTATAAATTCCAATTATAACTTTAAATAATTTTTGCAGTGCAGATACTAGGAATAATCTTGCGGAAGCTGATCAAAATGGATCAGATGACTCGTACGTGTGTCTGCGAGTGACACAATAGAATGACACACTCGATATTGCTTTTCCCGCGTGTCATCCAGCTACTGCTCAAGTTCTACTGTAATATTTACTTTTTTGTTCCCTTAAGAAAACCCCTCTACTGCCCCATGATGTAAATCGGTACATTACCCTCGCATTATTCTCGCATACGATCTCCATAATATTGATCAGCGAACCGTATTACAAGTACTGAATCCTGTTATCAAACTCTGCCGATCAGACTCGTTGCGAAGTATATTTCCTTTCCGAGCCAATGAACGTGCATGTTTTATATTTTAGCTGTGTGCCTCCCAAATCTGCGGGTTGCGGGTTCGCATCCCCATCCCACCCTCGCCCTTTCAGCCGTGGGGGCGTTATAATGTAACGGTCAATCCCACTGTTCGTTGGTAAAAGAGTAGCCCAAAAGTTGGCGGTGGGTGGTGATGACTAGCTGCCTTCCCTCTAGTCTTACACTGCTAAATTAGGGACGGCTAGCGCAGATAGCCCTCGTGTAGCTTCAAAACAAAAAATTCAAAACAAACAAACAAGCCTTACAACTCTAGAAACCGGGTTTCGATACTGGTGTAGCTTTTTGCTTAACTTCAAACAAACTTACCTGTGTGTGTAACAAATTAAATAAAAATTGCCGTGTTTCACAAAGTGGCAATTTGTATTGTCTTTCTAGAAAATATTTAAAATTTACAACCAACTCGAGAAAATAACATGGGATTGAGTGGTTAGGTTTCTTTACGAATTTTCGTTTCAAATGATAAATGCTCCAGTCTATTGTTATTGTAGTTGATAGCTGTATTTGTTTTATATAAATATTGTTTAAATATTGTATATAGGCAACGTTATTGTAGTTTATCGTTGTTTCTGATTTATTTTAAAGACTTGTGTATCCACCGAAATTTTCGGTCATCATGTAAACCTTCTAAGAATAATAAAACAAATATCCATAAATTAAGTTTAGGAAATAAAACTTTATAAACGATTATTTTACATTCGATTCAAGAGTTGAACCACGTCTTATCAATTGGTTGAGAAGTTGGTTAAACATTTATTGAAACCAGATATAAACAATCTGATGGCTTGCTTTAATTGGTGAAAATTTATTGAAACCAGAGATAAACAATCTGATGGCTTGTTTTAATTGGTAATAATTTATTGAAACCAGAGGTAAACAGTCTGATGGCTTGCTTTAATTGGTGAAAATTTATTGCAACCGAGGGCAAAGCAAGCTGGTGTTTTGCTTTGAAGAGATTAAACATATAATACTTGCTGCCTACTTTAGAAATTCATTTATTTTTGTGTCTCCTCCAAGGTTTAGTAGCGAAAATGTTAAATATTAATTGCCAAAATTTAGCAAACAAATTCACTTGCACGTACGGATGTGCCTCTTATCTGATAAAATTTCCTCCTTAACATAGTTTTTTTGTTGTTGTCTTTTCTGTGAAAAACTGTAAAGTGCACGCCCAATATGCCGCCATCTGCTGGCTATAAAGATGTTTTTTGTTTTCTTAACTGAACCGCTTTGGTAAAAATTATTTTCCCTCTCGATTATGTTGAAATGTATTTCTTTATATATAACAGTAATAATACCCTTTGGAATACGTGCGCAAATTTACGAATATATAAATTACAACAAGACTTGAATCTATTTGTTTCTTATAAGAAACGGAATAACTTCAAGGTAGTTTTTTTTTATGTTGTTTTCACATCTAGTTCCATCTCTAACTTGTGTGAAAAATGATTCACCCTCAGAATTAACGTTTTGTCCTTCCTGTACTACACTTTAGATATTTGATTATGGCAGTTTAATATCCACTATTTCTTGTATGATTAAATCATGCTCTTGAAAATTAGTAATTTTTTGTTTTTAACCAACGATACTCTGTTAACAAATCCTATTTCGAGTTGCAGTATCCTTGTTATCTTACAGTCGTGTCTAGCAAAGTGTAAGCTTTAATTTCAAATTATCTATACGTGTTTTTACTGACAATTTTTTCCCCCGTTTAGTTGTTAAAACAAGTGTCCAAAAATTAGGAAACGAAGAGCTGAGGTTTAGAAAAGCCAAAATTTTCAAAATGAAAGAAGGGACGATATCGAAATCTGATCTAAAAGCCCCTGTCTTCGAACATCCCAATATGTCTAGATGCTGTGGTGAACTAATTGAAAAACTTGACACTAGAGGGCGAGTCCTTGCAATGGGGGTTAAAAAGAAGGGTAGTCTGTTTCCAACTTTGATTATACCATGGGAGAAGACAAATAAAGCTATTCGAAAAGTCCAGAGGACCATGAAAAAATTTAATTGCTCAAATCCACAAGCTCTTTCCCGAACCATGTTAACTAGAAGTAAGATCCCAGTACGACGTTTTAGAAAAATTAAACGGGCAAGAAGACCAATACAGAAAAGAAGAGGAAAGAAGGAGATACCAGACGTAAAACAAAGTGCTCCTGGTAGGTGGCGCTGCTTACTTAAAATTGTTTTTTTTTTTCCACACATTCGAACTAAGACAAACTTTTTGAAAAACCCATGATATTATTTGAAACACTTTAGAGACATATAAATTCTATTTCAGGAAATTTTCATTGGTTCAGAAAAATTTGAATAAAGAAATTTTAATAAGTGTAAGAACTTTTTTAAATCGGCGGTTTTCGATCTATTCGGTCTGTATGCCTTTTAACTAAACCAAAACGTTGCGTACAACCCAATTTCAGATCGTTTCGGTAAAACCTATTTTAAATCGGAAAATTGCCGTTCATTGTTGAGGTAATAATTAACAGAATACGTGTAAGATTTTTTTTTATATAAAGCAGAGAACGAAAAAATTTAAATACAATTATTATTTTAAAAAACACCCTTGTTGTATCGCCTCCAACAATGTTCTCGTATAATCACGGGTTTCATTTATAATAGTATTACTAACAACCAGGCCTAACATTTTATCTAAGTGCAGCAAAGAAATAAAAAGTTCGGAAAGACAAAAATTATTTATTACCTGAGCGTTTACATAATTAAAAAAAATAGTATTTCATTTGCAGGTGGCGTTAAAAATTATTAAAAAAATTACAATAATAAGGGCGGTTTGGTAATGAGTAATGTTTTATTAATATTTCATTTAATTATAATTTTAAAACAAGTTATTCTTTATGTCAATTTATCATATTGGACTGATATGTGAATATCTTAATGTGTCTATTATAATTATTTAATATTTGGCACAGTGTGGTGCGCTGGATGCAAGCAACCCCTGACACTACGAAACCTGCTAAGCAAGTTCTGTGCAGCAGACTTCGGTAAGTACTCTCGAGATCAGTAGCATTTCTACATACTCTTGTCTTCAGGATTTTTGTTTCCTTATTTTGAAACCAAGGAAAAACAAGAAAATCTTGATTATCTCTCGCATGTTCATTTCTAGCTGGTGAACTAAATGTGGAAATGAAGAATCAAAATAATAATAATAACAACAACAACAAAAATAATAATTCAAGAATAACCTCGACACAGCTCTCGCATCAGCGGTCTAATATTGTTGTTGTTACAATATACCGAAACTTGTATTGTAATATTTCTTATACACAGATTATGTCTGAGTGTATACAAGAACTGAGGATGCTTTACGTTAATAATATCTTATTGTCAGTTTGATAAATATTTCCGACGTAATGATGCATCTGAAGTAATATCCGAAAATGTATAGTTGAACCGAAGCATGTTAACAAAAAAAGGCCGGATAACCCTAAATGTATAGTTGAACCGAAGCATGTTAACAAAAAAAGGCCGGATAACCCTAAATGTATAGTTGAACCGAAGCATGTTAACAAAAAAAGGCCGGATAACCCTAAATGTATAGTTGAACCGAAGC